CAAGGGAACCTGGAGGGCGATAGATGACAAGGATATTAAGCTTAAATGGGCTAGTGACTGTGACAGCATGGAATTCAAATGAGGAGATAGACAGATGGGTTAGGGGAAAAATTGAGAATGTCCACTTGGGAGAGATGAGGATTCCTGTGCCACCACCCCTCTGACCAGATGCTCTCGGGGTATGCGAGAACACATGGTCAGACGAGGAGAGAGCAGTAGGAGTAGCAGTGTTTTCAGTGGTAATCCATGTTTCCGTCAGCGCCAGGAAGTCGAGGGACTGGAGGGTAGCATAGGCTGGGATGAAGTCAGCCTTGTTGGCAGCAGAACGGCAGTTCCAGAGGCTGCCTGAGACCTGGAACTCCAGGTGTGTGGTGCGTGCAGGGACCACCAGGTTAGAGAGGCAGCAGCCACGCGGTGTGAGGCGTTTGTGTAGCCTGTGCGGAGAGGAGAGAACAGGGATAGGCAGAGGCATAGTTGACAGGCTGTAGCAAAAGGCTACAATAATGCAGAGGAGATCGGAATGAAATGAACTAAACATCTGGGAAAGGAGAGAGTAGGGCCTCCCTCACCAAAACTCCCAAATATAACTCTCCCAACTTCCACCTCAGAAACTATAATTGTTTCACTGAACCACCCGAATAAAACTCTCCCAACTTCCACTTTAGAAATTAGAATTGTTGTAAACTACAGCGGTTCAATGTTTCAAGGAATAGACTCAACTTACTTTATTCAGCTAGCTAACTATGACGCCATAGCTAACTAGCATGCTAGCATCCAATAACACACAGTTTAGCACCAATACTTGGTTACAACAAACTACCAATAGTGTGTTAACACACTAAACAGATAATCCGTGTCTAGTTCCTTTCATAACGCAGCAATAATTAAACGTTGGCTAGCTAGCACAAATATATTGTATTTAGCTGCTACAGTACAGCTAGCTGGTCGTGTTGGCTAGATAGCAATGGCTGCTGTGTTGACTTTGTTTTGAAAAACGGCGGCGCTGCGAACAAATGTAGCTGGCTAAAAGGATATTGTATTTAGTTGCTACCGTTGCTAATAGCTACTCGCCAGCTAGTCCAGGAGGTGAGTTAGCTAGCTAGCTAGCTTCGTGCTACACCCGGCACCGCCGAATACAATGCTAACCTACAATAATTACATACAATAACTACCCACAACAACCCACGATGCCTACCTACAATACCTAACTACAATCTAAATACATAGTTTAAGCCTTACTCGACAAAGCCCAAGCTATGTATAAAGCCAAACTTACCCGACGCCAGCTGTCTGGGTGGCAGACAAGAAGACATTGGTCTTCTGCAATCAGTAGCTGTAATTAAGTACAGTAGCTACTAACTACCTAACGTTAATGCCTCAGATAATGAGGTTAGAAAAACAGCTGAATGGTAGGTAGCTAGCTGGCTTAATCACAGGTACTCTTAAGCGTGAAATAACATTGGAAACAACTATCCACAGTTGTTAAAAGTTACCAGTAGCTACCCGCTAGCTAGCTAGCTTTATTGGTCCAGGTAGTGGGTTAGCTAGCCTCGTGCTAGCCTCGTGCTTCACCGGGCACCGCCGAATACAATACTTACCTACAATAATTACCTACAATAACCTACAATAACTACCTAAATAAACTACCTACAATACCTAACTACAATACCTACCTACAATCTAAATACATGGTTTAAGCTTTACTCAACACCATATAAGAAGCCAAGCTTACCTCCTGCTAGAGAAAACACAACCTCTCCCGACCACCACGTGGCACTCCAGATTTGGTACCATGCACTGTATGTTCTATTCTATTTCAATTTATTCAATTCTGTTTTGTTCTGTTCTGTTATTACCCCTTATGTACTTACTTATTGAGCAAGGTGAAATACATTTGCAAAAATGTCTAAAAACCTGTTTATGCTTTGTCATTATGGGGTATTGTGTGTAGATTGATGAGGGGAAGAAAATGTAATCCATTTTAGAATAAGGCTGTAACGTAACAAAATGTGGAAAAAATTAAGGGGTCTGAATACTTTCCAAATGCACTTTATGTAGTATATCTGAAGAATAGGTAGGATAGACTATAGCAATAGTTAAATAGGATAGGCCTTGACTAGAATACAGTATATACATATGAAATGGATAAAACAGTATGTAAACATTATTAAAGTGACCAGTGTTCCATCTCTATGTACATAGGCAGCAGCCTCTAAAGTTCAGGGCAGGGTACTCGGCAGAGGCCAGCTAGTGGTGACTATTTAACAGTCTGATGGCCTTGAGATAGAAGCTGTTTTTCAGTCTCTCTGTCCCAGCTTTGATGTACCTGTACTGACTTCACATTCTGGAAGGAAGCAGGGTGAACAGGCTGTGGCTCGGGTGGCTGAGGTCCTTGATGATCTTATTGGCCTGGGTGCTGTAGATGTCCTGGAGGGCAGGCATTGTGCCCCAGGTGATGTGATGCGCAGACCGCACCACCCTCTGGAGAGCCCTGCGGTTACGAACAGTGCAGTGTCCGTACCAGGCGGTGATACAGCCTGACAGGATGCTCTCAATGGTGCATCTGTAAAAGTTTGTGAGGGTCTTAGGGGCCGAGAGTAATTTATTCAGCCTCCTGAGGTTGAAGAGGTGCTGTTGCGCCTTCTTCACCACACTATCTGACACTGTCTGTGTGGGTGAACCATTTCAGATTGTCAGTGATGTGTACGCCGAAGAACTTGAAGCTTTTCACCTTCTTCCACTGCAGCCCGTCGATGTGGATGGGGCGTGCTCCCTCTGCTGTCTCCTGAAGTCCACGGTCAGCTCCTTCGTTCTGTTGATGTTGAGGGAGAGGTTATTTTCCTGGTAGCACTACGCCAGGGCCCTCACCTCCTCCCTGTAGGCTGTCTCGTCGTTGCTGGTAATCAGGCCTACCACTGTTGTGTTGTCTGCAAACTTGAGGATTGAGTTGGAGATGTGCATGGCCACGCAGTCATGGGTGAACAGGGAGTACAGTAGGGGGCTGAGTACACACCCCTGTGGGGCCCCAGTAATGAGGATATGCGTAGTGGAGGTGTTGTTGCCTACCTTCACCACCTGTAACGGCCTACTAACGCACAGTGATGCCATCGACAAGCGCCCACAGTCCTATGGAAGGAAGACCCATATTTTCGCGGCTGCTTCAGTGAGATGCAAATGAGTATTTTGGACACAGTTGTCACAGTATTTTATTTACCGGTAACCAGACAAAAGTGTTTTTAAAGAACTCCCTAGAGAAAACAATACTCTTTCTTTAATTTGACAGAACGTTATTTCAAGAAAAATGTACAGTTCCAGTCAAAAGTTTGGACCTACTCATTCCAGGGTTTTTCTTTATTTTTATTATTTTCTACATTGTAGAAAGATAGTGAAGACATCAAAACTATGAAATAACACATATGGAATTGTGTAGTAACCAAAAAAGTGTTAAACAAATCAAAATATATTTTAGATTCTTCAAATAGCCACCCTTTGCCTTGATGACAGCTTTGCACTCTCTTGGCATTCTCTCAACCAGCTTCACCTGGAATGCTTTTCCAACAGTTTTTAAGGAGTTCCCACATATGCTGAGCACTTGTTGGCTGCTTTTCCTTCACACTGCCGTCCGACTCATCCCAAACCATCTCAATTGGGTTGAGGTCGATTGTGGAGGCCAGGTCATCTGATGCAGCACTCCATCACTCTCCTTCTTGGTCAAATAGCCCTTACACAGCCTGAAGGTGTGTTGGGTCATAGTCCTGTTGAAAAACAAATGATAGTCCCACTAAGCCCAAACCAGATGGGATGGCATATCACTGCAGAATACTGTGGTAGCCATGCTGGTTAAGTGTGCCTTGAATTCGAAATAAATCACAGACAGTGTCACCAGCAAAGCACCCCCACACCATAACACCTCCTCCTCCATGCTTTACACTTGCGGAGATCATCCATTCACCACAAAGACACGGCGGTTGGAACAAAAAATCTCAAATTTGGACTCCAGACCAAAGGACACATTTCCAATTTCTAACGTCCATTGCTTGTCCCAAGCAGGTCTCTTCTCATTATTGGTGTCCTTTAGTTGTGGTTTCTTTGCAGCAATTAGACGATGAAGGCCTGATTCATACAGTCCCCTCTGAACAATTGATGTTGAGATGTGTCTGTGACTTGAACTCTGTGAAGCATTTATTTGGGCTGCAATTTCTTAGGCTGATAACTCTAATGAATTTATCTTCTGCAGCAGAAGTAAATCTGGGTCTTGCATTCCTGTGGCGGTCCTCATGAGAGGTTCCTGAAATTTTCCATATTGACTGACCTATATGTCTTAAAGTAATGATGGACTGTCGTTTCTCTTTGCTTATTTGAGCTGTTCTTGCCATAATATGGACTTGGTCTTTTACCAAATAGGGCTATCTTCTGTATACCCACCCTACATTGTCACAACACAACTGATTGGCCCAAACGCATTAAGAAGGAAATAAATTCCACAAATCAACTTTTAAGAAGGCACACCTGTTAATTTAAATGCATTCCAGGTGACTACCTCATGAAGCTGGTTGAGAGAATGCCAAGAGTGTGCAAAGCTGTCATCAAGGCAAAGGGTGGCTTTTTGAAGAATCTCAAATCTCAAATATATTTTAATTTGTTTTACACTTTTTTGGTTACTACATGATTCCATATGTGTTATTTTATAGTTTTGATGTCTTCACTATTATTCAACAATGTAAAAAATAGTAAAAATAAAGAAAAACCCTTGAATGAGTAGTTGTGTCCAAACCTTCGACTGGTAGTGTATCTGTTCAACAAATCTCCAACAAACGCAAAATAACGCTTGATAATAGGACACTATCACATGCCGGACATTGCCGTGCGCAATTGACAAATGTCACAAATGATAGAGATGTAATTTGGAAAATGAGAAAATAACATACACTTTACAACTCAGAGTTGTTATCTGGCACACGTTTGCATCAACACAATTTTACAGTATTGTCGCATTCAGTGGAGTCGACAGTGACAGGGGTGTCGGAGGAAAATACCTCAAACACAACAGTCACTTCTACCACGGACAACGAGTTGAAAGAAACTTCTACACGTAAGAGCCAAGAGAACGAAGAACCAGAGAAAAGTAGTTGTTTAAAGAGACGGCGAGGAGGGGGTGGGAAGAAACAACTCCTTCCGGGAGAGCGGCAAATTTCAGTGGGTCTAGGGTGTCCGGTAAGGTGGAGGTGATATGAACCTTAACTAGCCAAGATTAATTCACCTTTCAGCAGGACAATAACCTAAAACATAAGGCCAAATCTACACTGGAGTTGCTTACCAAGAAGACAGTGAATGTTCCTGAGTGGCCGAGTTACAGTTTTGACTTAAATCTACTTTAATATCTATGGCAAGACCTGAAAATGGTTGACTAGCAATGATCACCAACCAATTTGACAGAGCTTGAAGAATTTCGAAAAGAATAATGAGCAAATTTTGCACAATCCAGGTGTGGAACACTCTTAGAGAGTTACCCAGAAAGACTCAAAGCTGTTATCGCTGCTAAAGGTGCTTCTACAAAGTATTGACTCAAGGGGTTGAATACTTTTCTAATCAAGATATATTCACGTTTTATTAGTCATTACAATGCATCATTTTTTTTATTGTATTTTTTACAAATGTTAGAATTGTTGTTCCACTTTGACATTACAGTGTATTTTGTGTAGATCGTTGACAAAAAATGACAATGAAATTCACTTTAATCCCACTTTGTAACAACAAAATGTGGAAAAAGTCAATACTGTGAATACTTTCAGAAGGCACTGTTTATGTAACTTTTCAGGGTCAAGAGGACGAAGATAAGGCTTTGAAACGGGCTACTAACGCACAGTGACGCCATCGACAAGCGCCCGCAGTCCTATTTTTTTTTATTTCACCTTTATTTAACCAGGTAAGCCAGTTGGCAACAAGTTCTCATTTACAACTGCGACCTGGCCAAGATAAAGCAAAGCAGTGCGATAAAAAACAACAACACAGAGTTACATATGGGGTAAACAAAACATAAAGTCAAAAATACAACAGAAAATATGTATACAGTGTGTGCAAATGTAGCAAGATACTGGGGTGCAAATGAGCAAAGTAAATAACAATATGGGGATGAGGTAGTTGGGTGGGCTAATTTCAGATGGGCTGTGTACAGGTGCAGTGATCAGTAAGCTGCTCTGACAACTGATGCTTGAAGTTAGTGAGGGAGATAAGAGTCTCCAGCTTCAGAGATTTTTGCAGTTTGTTCCAGTCATTGGCAGCAGAGAACTGGAAGGAATGGCGGCCAAAGGAGGTGTTGGCTTTGGGGGTGACCAGTGAGATATATACCTGCTGGAGCGCATACCACGGGTGGGTGTTGCTATGGTGACCAATGAGCTAAGATAAGGCGGGGATTTGCCTAGCAGAGATTTATAGATGGCCTGGAGCCAGTGGGTTTGGCGACGAATATGTAGTGAGGACCAGCCAACAAGAGCGTACAGGTCACAGTGGTGGGTAGTGTATGGGGCTTTGGTGACAAAATGGATGGCAATGTGATAGACTACATCCAATTTGCTGCGTAGAGTGTTGGAGGCTATTTTGTAAATGACATCGCCGAAGTCAAGGATCGGTAGGATTGTCAGTTTAACGAGGGCATGTTTGGCAGCATGAGTGAAGGAGGCTTTGTTGCGAAATAGGAAGCCGATTCTAGATTTAATTTTGGATTGGAGATGCTTAATGTGAGTCTGGAAGGATAGTTTACAGTCTAACCAGACACCTAGGTATTTGTAGTTGTCCACATACTCTAGGTCCTATCGAAGGAAGACCGATATTTACACGGCTGCTTCAGTGAGATGCAAGTGAGTATTTTGAACACAGTTGTCACAGTATTTTATTTACGCGTAACCAGACAAACAGTGTTTTTAAAGAACTCCCTAGAGAATACGATCCTCTTTCTTTAATGTAGTATGTTATTTCAAGAAAAATGTATCTGTTCAACAAATCTCCAACAAACGCTTGATAATAGTACACTATCACATGCCAGACATTGCAGTGCGCAATTGACAAATTATAGAAATGTAATTTGGAAAGTGACTAAAGAACATACACTTTACAACTCAGAGTTGTCTGGCACACGTTTGCATCAACACAATTTGACAGTAGTGTCGCATACAATGGAGTCTACAGTGACGGGGGTGTCGGAGGAAAATACATCAAACACAACAGTCACTTCTACCACGGACAACGAGTTGAAAGAAACTTCTAAACGTAAGAGCCAAGAGGACGAAGAACCAGAGAAAAGTAGTCGTTTAAAGAGACGACGAGGAGGGGGTGGGAAGAAACAACTCCGTCCGGGAGAGCAATACATTCCTCTCCCTCAAAAACGCAACCCCGGAGTGAGCTTTAGCAAAGATACTTTTTATGAAATGACTTACTATTTTGAAGGAGGTCTACGCAAAGTGCACTCATACTACTTTGACTTCAACATTTATTGCAAGGGACGCTGGATTGGGAAAAGTCTTCTTGAGGTTTTCAGCAGTGAATTCTGAGCGAAGCCTTTGGAGTATTACATTAGGGCTTCCAAACTAGGACGCATCCGACTCAACGAGATACCAGTGGATGACCTCACCATAACACTCAGGGTAAGTTCTAGTCTGATAAATCATGCTGTAATACACAATTAATTGGTATATACAGCCTGAAACTAATGCCTGCAAAATCATATAAATGTTCCTTACAAGCCAGAATGTTGAATAAAATTATATTTAGACTTACTGTACCAGTTGTCTGTGTGATTTGTCCTTTAGCTGCTAGAAATTTGAGACAATATCCACCTCAAACTATTGTTTACCCAACTTTTTAGACAGTAGGTATGGTACGGTTCGGCACCAAGGTCAAGTTAGTTGCCATGCCATGACAATGAAAATTGTATATTCTGAATCAGGGGAGGATGGAGAACAATCAACACTTTTCAGTGTTCATTCAAAAAATAGAAACCAAATAAAAAATGAAAAATTCACACACCAAAAATGTGTAATTGTCGAATTTTGCAGGCATTAGTTTCATGCTGTATATACAAATTAATTGTGTATTACAGCCTGATTGAACTTAACCTAGTATGATTCATCTTTGTCTTCTCCCTGTCTATGAATATGTTGGCTTGAGTCAGATACAGCAGTCAAACTTTGATCCTATGTTTTTTGAGTCTGCAGAAAAAATATTGCCTCAGACTGGTCTTTTTCCCCTCAGAACAATGGAAGGAACACAGTGCATTGCCATGAGCCACCTGTAGTCAGACGGCCCCTGGAGATTCTGGAAGATAACGGGGAGGTGTTGGTAGTTGACAAGCCATCCTCGATGCCAGTCCATCCTTGCGGGCGCTTCCATCACAACACGGTCATCTTCATCCTGGGAAAGAACCGGGCATATGTGGCCTTCATACTGTGCACCGGCTGGATCGCCTCACGTCTGGGGTGCTGCTCTTCACCCGCACTTTGGAAGTGTCCCAAAAACGTGTTGGTGTGAGAAAGACAGGTGAGACATCCTCAGTCTACCTTATGTTAGTGCAGTTTGCACCTTTCAATTGAAAAGGGACATTCAGAGTCATAAACTGATAAGACATTTTTTATTCACTTATCCTGGAAATCTGGTTACCAGTTTGGATTGAATAGGGCCTCAAGTATAATCTCTGTCAAACTGGGGTGATGTGTATGCGGCAGTGAAGTCAGGCGCAGGACACAGAGGATCAGGAATGACTACTTTACTTCCAGTAATACGCACAAAAACAAAAGTCTCCAACACTAGAGGAGTAACACGCGGAGTGCGTAAAATAACGAGCTAGCAATGCCAAACATACGACAGGACAAAAGGACAATAACACACAAAGGCAAGCATAAAACAAGGGAACTTATATGTTACATAATCAATACAAAATAAGAAACAGGTGTACAAACTAGACAACACAAGACACACACCGAAACATCGATCGGCAGTAGCTAGTACTCCGGGGACGACGAACGCCGAAGCCTGCCCGAGCAAGGAGGAGGAGCAGCCTCGGCGGCATCCGTGACAATCTCTCTATGACTGAACATAAAATACACTTTGTCAAAGTTTGATATTAGTGACTGATACAGTATGTCATCTTTTACAGCTGGAGAAGGAGTACGTCTGTCGAGTGGAGGGGGTTCCCAGAGGGCGAGATAATCTGTGAGGAGCCTATCCTGGTGTTCTCCTTCAAGGTGGGACTGTACAGGGTGCATCCTAAAAGCAAGGAATGACGCACAGTCTTCCAAAGACTCAGCTGGAACGGCCACTCCAGTGTAGTGCGCTGCCTCCCTTTCACGGCCGCACTCACCAGATCCGCGTCCACCTCCAGGCTACCCCATCCTCAACGACCCCATCTACGGTTCTTCTGCTTGGGGTCCCGACAGGGCGAAGGGTGGCCTGGTGGGCATGAGCGACCACGACCTTCTCAAAGCGATTCTGGAGGAACACCACTTGAAGGCGAATCTTAATCTCCTAGACATCCCAGATGAAGGAATCGGACAGGTGAGCAATGCGCGGTCTGACGTCAATGGCAAAGATGCTCAGACACCTCAGCCAGAGCTGCTGCCACAGGTTTGCAATTCTGTTTCAAGAGACTGTAAACTGAATGATGTAGAACAGAGTGCAAATCAGGTCCACAGCAGTCCAGCCACACCTGGAGCATTACCTAGACCATCTGAAGAAAATGGGGATCAAACAAAGTCCACAGAATCTTCTCACTCAGCTTCTACAAACACGAGAGACCCTCTATGCAGTGAGTGTAAGATTGTGCGTCCAGACCCCATTGAGAAGGAGCTCATCATGTACAGTGAGGGAAAAAAGTATTTTATCCCCTGCTGATTTTGTACTTTTGCCCACTGACAAATAAATGATCAGTCTATAATTTTAATGGTAGGTTTATTTGAACAGTGAGAGACAGAATAACAACAACAAAATCCAGAAAAACGCATGTCAAAAATGTTATAAATTGATTTGCATTTTAATGAGGGAAATAAGTATTTGACCCCTCTGCAAAACATGACTTAGTACTTGGTGGAAAAACCCTTGTTGGCAATCACAGAGGTCAGACGTTTCTTGTAGTTGGCCACCAGGTTTGCACACATCTCAGGAGGGATTTTGTCCCACTCCTCTTTGCAGATCTTCTCCAAGTCATTAAGGTTTCGAGGCTGACGTTTGGCAACTCGAACCTTCAGCTCCCTCCACAGATTTTCTATGGGATTAAGGTCTGGAGACTGGCTAGGCCACTCCAGGACCTTAATGTGCTTCTTCTTGAGCCACTCCTTTGTTGCCTTGGCCGTGTGTTTTGGGTCATGCTGGAATACCCATCCAAGACCCATTTTCAATGCCCTGGCTGAGGGAAGGAGGTTTTCACCCAAGATTTGACGGTACATGGCCCCGTCCATCGTCCCTTTGACGCAGTGAAGTTGTTCTGTCCCCTTAGCAGAAAAACACCCCCAAAGCATAATATTTCCACCTCCATGTTTGATGGTGGGGATGGTGTTCTTGGGGTGATAGGCAGCATTCCTCCTCCTCCAAACACGGCGAGTTGAGTTGATGCCAAAAGCTCAATTTTGGTCTCATCTGACCACAACACTTTCACCCAGTTCTCCTCTGAATCATTCAGATGTTCATTGGCAAACTTCAGACGGGCATGTATATGTGCTTTCTTGAGCAGGGGGACCTTGCAGGCACTGCAGGATTTCAGTCCTTCACGGTGTAGTGTGTTACCAATTGTTTTCTTGGTGACTATGGTCCCAGCTGCCTTGAGATCATTGACAAGATCATCCCGTGTAGTTCTGGGCTGATTCCTCACTGTTCTCATGATCATTGCAACTCCACGAGGTGAGATCTTGCATGGAGCCCCAGGCCGAGGGAGATTGACAGTTATTTAGTGTTTCTTCCATTTGCGAATAATCGCACCAACTGTTGTCACCTTCTCACCAAGCTGCTTGGCGATGGTCTTGTAGCCCATTCCAGCCTTGTGTAGGTCTGCAATCTTGTCCCTGACATCCTTGGAGAGCTCTTTGGTCTTGGCCATGGTGGAGAGTTTGTAATCTGATTGATTGCTTCTTTGGACAGGTGTCTTTTATACAGGTAACAAGCTGAGATTAGGAGCACTCCCCTTAAGAGTGTGCTCCTAATCTCAGCTCGTTACCTGTATAAAAGGCACCTGGGAGCCATAAATCAACAGAAGTGCAGATAATGTACTATACAAAGAGTCTAGAACGTGACCAATAGGATTCAAAGCTTCACAAAAGTGAACGTTTTGGACTTTGGACACTTGGTTAACCAAGCTCTGTTGTTAAAGGCCCAGTGCAGTGAAAATTCATTTTTTCCTGTTTTATAACATATTGTACAACAGCTGATGAAACTAACACTGTAAGCATGTAAAAATGTAATTAAATTGTAGTATCTTCATGACCTTGAATAAAACAAACCATTCAGTAAAAATACACTTTTTTGCTTTCGACCGTGTGAAAATTAATATGTACTTTATTTACATTTACATCATTTAGCAGACGCTAAATTATGTAAATAGTTATGCACGCTCAAGTTTTCTGTTTTTTTGGTCTTATTTGTTGTTGTTTCACAAAAAAAATATATTTTGCATTTTCAAAGTGGTAGGCATGTTGTATAAATCAAATGATACAAACCCCCCAAAAAATCCATTTTAATTCCAGGTTGTAAGGCAACAAAATAGGAAAAAAATGCCAAGGGGGTGAATACTTTTGCAAGCCACTGTATGTTTTAAAAATAACATTAATAAGACTGCATTTGGGCTTTAATAGTTGTTTCAACCTTTCAGTTTTCTCTGCTCTTAAAAAGCCGAAAGTTAGGTTATTTCATTCTCTAAGGCAGGTTATTTCAAAAGCTCATCCAAGACTTAATGATCACAGAATCAGTTGTCAAAAGGAAATCCTTTTGGATGAGACAACTTCAAAATAACCCTGCTTGTAGGCACATTTGACAATTTCTTGTTAAGGTCATTGCATCAAACCACAATCAACCCTTCGTAATTAAAACATCAATAAATGATTCTGGGTTGTATTCGATACACCACATTTTGGACCAAAAACACATATCTGAAACCATTTTTGCCAGTAATATAAAGGATATCCCTTTCACACAGAACACATACATTTACATTTTCTTCATGGAAAAAGGATTGTTGCAAAGATTTGGCACATGCTGCACATTGTACACCATTATCCATATACTGCAGATATTCCGTCGAGGCAAACATATATTTCAACTGATGTTCCAGCTGGTTGTGCAATGTTGTAAAGGCTGTTTGATCTGCTGATGCTATTTAAATTTTTTAATACCTAGTCAAGCTTAAGTAGAGATTGTATTACTCTACACTGAATCTTAACCACAGCACTGTGCAAACAAATTATCTACAAGTCATGTTTAATATATGAATGAGCCCCATAATGATGGATGAAGCCACAGGCCAGTAAAATCCCCCTTTGTCAAATTCAGGCCTGCCAATAAATGAGCAAGACATTCCTTTTTCATTATCGAAAGGACAATGCTCAAATATAGCTCTGTACCTGCAAGTCTGCAACAGTGCTGTTCAGGTCCCCTAAATAATTAATACACACAGAATTGTCTTAACAGTTACCAAATGAATGTTACATTTCTTGGCATTGACATTGAACAACAGCAATGAGTGGTACGTTCTGACATTAAAATGGTTAGAAAATGTATATGATATAACACAATCTCTGAACTACTTTTAGTGATGTGAATTACATCACTTTGTACCATGTTAAGATAAAGTGAGGTGTGCCTCTTGTTTGGTGGTGTTTGCCTCTAATAGCATGGCACAAGCATTGCGTTCAAACAAAAGAGCACCTTCTCTCACATCTAAAATGTATTTGGAAATTATTCAATTTGTTCAATTTACATTATTGTCCAATAGTTTATTCAGATTATGGATATAAATCAGGGTGGTTCAGGCCAAGACAAAAATGCCAGTGATTATCCAAGTTCCAGTGTCTGTCTGGCTGTCAATTTTCAACATTTCTAAATCCATTATGAAGAATATTTGTCACAACATAACATTCCGCATGAAGCAGTATCTGCATTAACTAGACCTGTTTATGATAATACTTTATCAAAGGATAGTTTCTGATTGAGCGAATGAAGCTGCCTGACGATGAACTGAAAACTTTTGCATGCTTAGATTATTTTGAAATCCCATTCAGTTTGTATCTTCCCTTGGCCCATCTCGTTTGATCCATACATCAGGCAAATCTGGTTTACTGTTTGGCAACATGACTGGTCCTTCACTCAGGCTTGTATGACCCCTCCCACATCCGGGAGAGACTGTCTCATAGGTGATCTCTCTCAGGGAGAGGCGTAAGGTGTCTCTCTTTCCGTTAAGGTGCCCTGGTTGTGGTTCAAGTTCTCCCTCTGCTTCAATAGATATCTGTTGGTTTGAGGGTCCAGGTTCAGCGTCACTCAGGCAAGTCTCATTGGAATCCTCTAGTGCGTCAAATGAACTCTGAGTTGACAGTAGGCGTTTGTGGGAGTGATGCTCAAATGGACTATTGGGGGCCTCATCCTTTGAGAGGGATGGCTGGTAAATTGTTTCTATTGTTTGACTAATGATGGTTTCCTCAATGCTTGAGGAAGAGGACAGCGATACGTTCCAGTGCTTGATGCCAGCAGACTGTCCTCTGCACATCTTGCACAATAGCTTTTCATTAGCCAGGTCACCCGGAGGAGCAACTACTGGCCCTAGGGTGTTCTCTTTGTATGGGGAAGAGGTCTGCAAAGCCGGGGGTGGGTGACAGCCTTTGTGGTGCCTACCACAGATCTCTTCACTATCTGCCTCAATGTTGCTCCTCTCCACATCTCTCCTGGGACTCAGCCCACCGAACTGGATGTCATCCGAGAGAACTGAGGGTCTGTTGGATAGCTTACTAGTGCACGTGCTGTTCTCAAAGCTTTCACTTAGCTGATAAGCCAATGGCTGAAGCTCATACTGCGCTGACTCCCTCCCGCCTCCTACCTGTCGCTGTCTATGACGCTGTTGGTTCGGGTAAAGGTAATTACCCCTGTCTTTATTGAAATTCCTTTGAACGCTTGATCTCCCAAAAGCCCCGTTGGCTGCAGAGGTCGAGGACCTAGGTTCTGATGCTGAGCAGGATGGGAGACCTTCAGTTCCCTGTTTAGATGAACATGGCACCATTATTTTCCCACCGTTTTTTTGAGGACCGAAAAAGCAGCATAGGGATTGGAAAAAGAAGGTGGCAAATCCACATGCTACACATTTCACCAGAAATAGGAATATTCCCAGCTTTCTGAACAACAAGGCAGTAGTAGGGAGCATGATGATGCCCGCACAGCAAAAGGCCACAGCTCCTATTGCTACAGGACAGCCCATTCTTTTCAGGGAATGCGCAACTCTTCCAATTCTATCAGTGTGTGGAGCTGAATTATATGATATGCAGTAGTTGGCTAAAAAGTCAACAGACAGCCCAGAAGCAGCTGATATGAAGAGTGCCTCCACACCACTGAGCTGCCATTCTAGAAGGACAAGGAGACCGACGGTGACAAAAACACTTCCTCCAACAGCAGCAGTGCCATAAACACTCAGTGGAATATTCCATGTGGTCAGAAGAAGCAAGACAAACACCAGGGCTACAGAGAACCCAGTAACCACAAGGGTCTCTGAGCTTAGACATTGTTGCAAGTCAAAGAGTGTCAACTGGCTCACAAACCATCCTTTCTGAAGTCCCAGTGGTGCCCTAGAAATTTCTCCATTAAACCATGACAAAATATCATTATAGAAAAGGGTGGTGTTACTAAAGTTGTAACTATAGCGGTGCGTTGTCCTAAATACCATTACCAGGGCTGCTATTTGCCCATCTGCCTCAAAATGTAGGCCTTCAACCTCGGACACATAACCCTCTGCATGCCGCTCGGCCACCATCATACTCAGGCATTGTTCAAAAACACTCGGTGGGTAAGGAAAAGAAATAGCATTGCAGCAAAAATGAAAAGCATCCTTACTCTCGGAGCAATGTCGAATAGACACCCAGTCTATGAGTTGCTCGACAATACAGATATTGTCTGTTGAGCCTTCGTTTTCAGACGATGACGATGAGGGTAAATAAAAGCTTTGGTTTTGAACTCTTCCACACAATTCTCTCAACCACACCTGAGCCTCTGGGCTACTCATGTTAAACTCTGGATCCATAACTAAAGATCCATTGCTTTTTGGATCAAAGTGATTGCCATTATCGGTTGGGATGACTCCCCAAACAAGAGTTAATGTAATAAACTGGTCCTCCCCATTCACCAGCCGTTCAAACATGAATTGGTGGCGATATTCAGCATCATATCTTTCAAAGGGATGGCTGGAGCGGAATAACTGAGTTACCCTGTTGTCTAAAGTGGGTAGTCTCATACCAGGGTCTATAACTGAGATATATGTTCCTCCTGCGGCCAACACTGTGAACCAGCAGACCCAAATGTATCTGAACTTGACCACTCCACAAGGGAGGATTTTCAGGAAAAGCACATTGGAGGTGTCGGATAGTCCCCGCTTCAACCCTCGTAGCTTCTGACCAAAGGTGAAGAGGCACCGCTTTCGCGAGCTTGTGTCCCAGAACCCGCCAGGGCTTTTCGTGCAGCAAGGCTTCCAGGCCTGAGCAGTAACAGAGGCTGAGGCAGCCACAGTGTAGCGCTCACACAAAATGAGAGAGCTGGGCAACCACGCAAGGGAGGAGAGAGTACAGATTAAGGACGCAGTTCCCAGGTACACAGCAAAGCATCTCACTGCTGTGATGCTGCTCAGGAACCCCGAGAAAAACGTGGCACTAGAAGTCAGTCCTGATGCCAGTATCAAATATCCAACCTCTTGGAGAACTCGATTGACTCTCTTCTCTAGAGAAGCGGGTGGATTCTGGGATAGTTGTAGGTTCCAGAAATCAATGAAAGTAAAAGCCTGGTTAGAGCAACTGCCAAACAGGACGAGAGCTGAAGCTAAGTTGAGGAAAGGGAAGAATGTCAGCTGGAAAACCACTTTGTAGAAGAAATAGGAAGTCAAGAGCGAACTCACAATTGCGAGTAAAGACAATGCTGATAGGAAAAGTGACCGCAAATAAAGGGCCATGGTGAGGAACAGCGAAACTACAGCCAGAACAGGGTAGATGGCGTCCCTAGCCAGATAATACTTGAATAGCTTTTGCTTGATGCCTAGGTCCATTCCTGTGATAGTAGTGTTCTTGTATGTAAGCTCACGACCTTCAAGGCTGTTCATGTATATCTCCATCAAGTGATCTCCTTTTTCCACCGGTAGAAACAGGAGGCTATATTTCAGTGAGGGGACCTGATATTCTATTGTCTGTGGCCCTAGGAAGTCCTTATCAACCAGGTAATGCAATATCTGGAATACGGCACGAGAGTGTTTGCACCGAGTCGGCACAGATGCACAGTGGCCTTGCTTGCCCCTCTCTGCACAATATGCCACCAGGCTTCCATCGTGGTAGTATGGGGCGCAAAAGCGGAGTAGGTGCAGACTCTCCGTCACCTGCAAAGAGGTCAGGCTGAGACAGGATGAGGCATTGCTGAGAAGTGCCAGGTAGTTTCCCAGTGACCAACTTGGACAGCATCCGCCCCTGATCATGGCACCGTCCACTTCCAAACGGATATGTTGCTTGCAGAGATCTTGGAAGTGGGGTTGTGAACGAATCTGAAACATGGAGAAGAGAAGTTTGTCATTTTAACACATCTATTGACTTCTATTATCATGTATTCTCACTCTACCCATGGCAAAATCGATGTAATTGATGTTCCATCTACCTTTTATTACAAGAGCAAATTGAAAGGTACAGATTATTTTGCTACTTTTCATCACGTAACTTATTGTCACCCACTGGGGATCCATAACAACTTTGTTTTCTTTCAAATAAAGAATAGCACAGATTTAAAAATGTTTCTATCAGTGCCTGCCAAGTTCTGTATCCTAGAATGGTCTTTAATTTGTTTGAGTTGGCTCCCTGATTTCATGGTCTCGTTGGTAATGGTGGAAAATGGCAGATGGTATGCTGATTTAAGATGAGTAAAGACCTAGTCACCTACCCTTTCCTGCTCCATCTCACACATGGAGTAGATCGCCTTCAGGCTCCAAAGACTGGCAGAGTTTCCCGAGCGGAAGACCAGCTGGGCGTAGCGGTCTCCTGTGATACCACAGATGGCGGCAAAAACATGGCACCCCTCATCAAAGACTGTCCTCAGTCTTCACTTACAAAAATGGAGCTAGAGGGACTGCTTATATTCTTACATAACTGAAACACTGGAATGATGAACTAGCGGGTCAATACCTATATATTAAGGTTTTTGATTGATACATTATTGGATTGTTTCCTGCTACATTTGAGAAACATTTATCTAGTAGTAGAGAGACAACACCATCATGTGGGTGTTGATTAGCGTTATTAGCCTACCTGGAGAGTCACAGAGGAACGTGTCCTGGGCAGAGTCCCTGTCCAGCATTCTTCTAGGCCGTTGCCTGGATGACTGTTCCTGGGTCCCACTGGCATCCCCTCCGCTACCGTCTCCATAGCTTCATAAATAAACATGAACACAACACAATTATACATGAGACATCTAGACAATTCATATCAATCACAGGTAATAGCACAATCAGCACCCAAGTAACAATATACATATGGACTCAATTATCCAGCATTTACACCGTAGCTATACTATATCATATACGTTTGGGAGCATGTTGGCGGAATGTGTGTTCTGTGCATAGGCTTAGTCCATCTGTGATTGTGCCTCAGAAAGATGCCTAATTGTTGCCTGTGGTTCTACTTTATTGTGGCTGCTATTTTGTACAGAGCTCTCTGTGTGTAGTGGGGAGCTCATCCGGTTTTTGCACAGTACCTCCCAGCTGTCTTGTCTTTGAGCTGTTGCGGTATCAGAGACAGTGTTTTTCCAGGCCCCGTGTTCTGCTGAAGCTTGGCCAAGGCAGACTGTCGCACCCCAATGTATGTTCCTCGAGGCTCAAAACCCTGCATGAAAACATCAAAGTCAATGGAACAACATCTCCTGATGACAGCCAAAGCAGGAAAACAATGCTATTAATTAATAAAAAAATATGTAGGCCTAATGCTGATTGTTAGGGCTACAGTAGGTGAATTAGACAGTCTGATTACATGAATTAGAATGATTAGATGCTAATGTACTGTATGTTAAGTGACATACTAGGATGGATGCTTTGAAGATTGACAATGACGTTCAGTGTTGATTGATATAGCATTGTGTTCAATGTTTTTCAAGATGTATTTTTACACTGGTCTCTGCCTTGGTCATTACATATTGATAACCATGAGTGTAACTGTACACATTTAGTATTTCATTTTAGTCATTTAGCAGACGCTCTTATCCAGAGCGACTTACAGTTAGTGAGTGCATGCATTTTCATACTGGCCCCCCGTGGGAAACGAACCCACAACCCTGGCGTTGCAAGCGCCATGCTCTACCAACTGAGCTACATGGTCATTCAATCAGTTAATGTAACTATCCTTGACTGTTCATTAGACCTGCAATTGCACTGATATGGTTTCACTTGTATTTCTGAGCTGACAAGACATAAAAATGTTTGAGAGATTTGCAGTGTCTACTACTTTATCTGCGGCAGCTTTTTAAGAGGCAGGGAGCGAGCTAAAAAAGGGTTTACAGTAGCATTCGGTTTGATAGGAATTTGGCAGAGAAAGCCACAGTGCTGCTGAGGGAGACACTCACCATCAGCGGGTCAGAGAAGTCTGGTAGGGGACCAATTAACAGGCCGGCTAGGGAACATCCAAGGAGGACCACTGCACACCCGACGAGCACCGCCAGAGGATACTCCAGTACCACCTGGGAGTAACTGTCAAGCAAATGTCACCAACTGTCAAGCAAATGCCACAGGAAAAGAGCATCTCTTTACATAGTGAAAGTACTGTATGTATCTAGGAAAATCATGGTTCTAGCATAGTAAAGTAAACCATTGAACATTACATCTCCAAACATTGGTCACCAGTACTCATATTTTGAGTCACACAATATTATCTTGATCTTATGATCATGTTGTATAGCTAAATGAAGGACTAAAGATTGTTGTTGTCCTAATGACTGCCATGCACTGGTGTACAATTGGGTGCAAGGGAAATTGTAGGTCATTTTGCGTTCACACGATGACCTTGTTGTCATGGATACTGACTTTCTAGGGATCCAGTAGAGTCCGTCATCCCTAAAATAGAAAAATAATTCTGCGTCATTGACCTTGTTTTGAGATTATATTTTTGCATGATAATGTTCAGTGCATTCGGAAAGTATTCAGACCCTTTGACTTTTTCCACATTTTGTTACATTACAGCCTTATTTTAAAATTGATTAAATTAAAATGTTCCTCATCAATCTACACACAATACCCCATAATGACAAAGTGAAAACAGTTTTTTTTTAAATTTTTGCACATTTATGAAACATGATAAACAGAAATACCTTATTTACATAACTATTCAGACCCTTTGCTATGAGACTCGAAATTGAGCTCAGGTGCATCCTGTTTCCATTGATCATCCTTGAGATGTTTCTACAACTTGATTGGAATCTACCTGTGGTAAATTCAATTGATTAGACAAGATTTGGAAAGGCACACACCTGTCTATATCAGCAAAAATCAAGCAATGAGGTCGAAGGAATTGTCTGTAGAGCTCCAAGACCGGATTGTGTCGAGGCACAGATCTGGGGAAGGGTACTAAAAAATGTCTGCAGCATTGAAGGTCCCCAAGAACACAGTGGCTTCCATCATTCATAAATGGAAGAAGTTTGGAACCACCAAAAACTCTAGGCCAAACTAAGCAATCGGGGAGAAGGGCCTTGGTCAGGGAGGTGACCAAGAACCCGATGGTCACTCTGACAGAGCTCAAGAGTTCCTCTGTGGAGATGGGAGAACCTTCCAGAAGGACAACCATCTCTGCAGCACTCCACCAATCAGGCCTTTATGGTAGTGGCCAGACGGAAGCCACTCCTCAGTAAAAGGCACATGACAGCCCGCTTGGAGTTTGCCAAAAGGCACCTAAAGGACTGTCAGACTTTCCTTTACACGGATCAGTCGTCCTGGTCCCTTTGCAGAAAAACAGCCCCAAAGCATGATGTTTCCACTCCCATGCTTCACAGTAGGTATGGTGTTCTTTGGATGCAACTCAGCATTCTTTGTCCTCCAAACACGACGAGTTGAGTTTTTACCAAAAAGTCATCTGACCATATGACATTCTCCCAATCCTCTTCTGGATCATCCAAATGCACTCTAGCAAACTTCAGACGGGCCTGGACATGTACTGGCTTAAGCAGGGGGACACGTCTGGCACTGCATGATTTGAGTCCCTGGCGGCGTAGTGTGTTACTGATGGTAGGCTTTGTTACTTTGGTCCCAGCTCTCTGCAGGTCATTCACTAGGTCCCCCCGTGTGTTTCTGGGATTTTTGCTCACCGTTCTTGTGATCATTTTGACCCCACGGGATGAGATCTTGTATGGAGCCCCAGATCGAGGGAGATTATCAGTGGTCTTGTATGTCTTCCATTTCCTAATAATTGCTCCCACAGTTGATTTCTTCAAACCAAGCTGCTTACCTATTGCAGATTCAGTCTTCCCAGCCTGGTGCAGGTCTACAATTTTGTTTCTGGTGTCCTTTGACAGCTCTTTGGTCTTGGCCATAGTGGAGTTTGGAGTGTGACTGTTTGAGGTTGTGGACAGGTGTCTTTTATACTGATAACAAGTTCAAACAGGTGCCATTAATACAGGTAACGAGTGGAGGACAGAGGAGCCACTTAAAGAAGAAGTTACAGGTCTGTGAGAGCCAGAATTCTTGCTTGTTTGTAGGTGACCAAATACTTATTTTCCACCATAATTTGCAAATAAATTCATTAAAAATCCTACAATGTGATTTTCTGGAAAAATAATTCTCAATTTGTCTGTCATAGTTGACGTGTACCTATGATGAAAATTACAGGCCTCTCTCATCTTTTTAAGTGGGAGAACTTGCACAATTGGTGGCTGACTAAATACTTTTTTTCCCCACTGTACATGGTCATTCAATCAGTTAATGTAACTATTCTTGACTGTTCATTAGACCTGCAATTGCACTGATATGGTTTCACTTGTATTTCTGAGCTGACAAGACATAAAAATGTTTGAGAGATATGCAGTGTCTACTACTTTATCTGCGGCAGCTTTTTAAGAGGCAGAGAGCGAGCTAAAAAAGAGTTTACAGTAGCATTCGGTTTGATAGGAATTTGGCAGAGAAAGCCACAGTGCTGCTGAGGGAGACACTCACCATCAGCGGGTCAGAGAAGTCTGGTAGGGGACCAATTAACAGGCCGGCTAGGGAACATCCAAGGAGGACCACTGCACACCCGACGAGCACCGCCAGAGGATACTCCAGTACCACCTGGGAGTAACTGTCAAGCAAATGTCACCAACTGTCAAGCAAATGCCACAGGAAAAGAGCATCTCTTTACATAGTGAAAGTACTGTATGTATCTAGGAAAATCATGGTTCTAGCATAGTAAAGTAAACCATTGAACATTACATCTCCAAACATTGGTCACCAGTACTCATATTTTGAGTCACACAATATTATCTTGATCTTATGATCATGTTGTATAGCTAAATGAAGGACTAAAGATTGTTGTTGTCCTAATGACTGCCATGCACTGGTGTACAATTGGGTGCAAGGGAAATTGTAGGTCATTTTGCGTTCACACGATGACCTTGTTGTCATGGATACTGACTTTCTAGGGATCCAGTAGAGTCCGTCATCCCTAAAATAGAAAAATAATTCTGCGTCATTGACCTTGTTTTGAGATTATATTTTTGCATGATAATGTTCAGTGCATTCGGAAAGTATTCAGACCCTTTGACTTTTTCCACATTTTGTTACATTACAGCCTTATTTTAAAATTGATTAAATTAAAATGTTCCTCATCAATCTACACACAATACCCCATAATGACAAAGTGAAAACTGGTTTTTTTAAATTTTTGCAAATTTATGAAACATGATAAACAGAAATACCTTATTTACATAACTATTCAGACCCTTTGCTATGAGACTCGAAATTGAGCTCAGGTGCATCCTGTTTCCATTGATCATCCTTGAGATGTTTCTACAACTTGATTGGAATCTACCTGTGGTAAATTCAATTGATTAGACAAGATTTGGAAAGGCACACACCTGTCTATATCAGCAAAAATCAAGCAATGAGGTCGAAGGAATTGTCTGTAGAGCTCCAAGACCGGATTGTGTCGAGGCACAGATCTGGGGAAGGGTACTAAAAAATGTCTGCAGCATTGAAGGTCCCCAAGAACACAGTGGCTTCCATCATTCATAAATGGAAGAAGTTTGGAACCACCAAAAACTCTAGGCCAAACTAAGCAATCGGGGAGAAGGGCCTTGGTCAGGGAGGTGACCAAGAACCCGATGGTCACTCTGACAGAGCTCAAGAGTTCCTCTGTGGAGATGGGAGAACCTTCCAGAAGGACAACCATCTCTGCAGCACTCCACCAATCAGGCCTTTATGGTAGTGGCCAGACGGAAGCCACTCCTCAGTAAAAGGCACATGACAGCCCGCTTGGAGTTTGCCAAAAGGCACCTAAAGGACTGTCAGACCATGAGAAACAAGATTCTCTGGTCTGATGAAAACAAGATTGAACTCTTTGGCCTGAATGCCAAGCATCACGTCTGGAGGAAACCTGGCACCATCCCTACGGTGAAGCATGGTGGTGGCAGCATCTTGCTGTGGGGATGTTTTTCAGCAGCAGGGACTGGGACACTAGTCAGGATCGAGGGAAAGATGAACGGAGCACAGAGAGTTCTTTGATGAAATCCTGCTCCAGAGCGCTCAGGACCTCAGACTGGGGCGAAGTTTCACCTTCCAACAGGACAACGACCCTAAGCACACAGACAGCGTACGTCCAGGGTAGGGGAGGGAATGGGCCGGCAGGGGATGGTAGCGTGGTCAGTTTGGTAGAGCATGGCGTTTGCAACGCCAGGGTTGTGGGTTTGATAAAATATTTATGCGCTAACTGTAAGTCGCTCTGGATAAGAGCGTCTTGCTAAATGACTAAAAAATGTCTCTGAATGTCCTTGAGTGGCCCAGCCAGAGCCCGGACTTGAACTCGATCGAACATCTCTGGAGAGACCTGAAAATAGCTGTGCAGTGACGCTCCCCATCCAACAATTTGGAAACTCCCCAAATACAGGTGTGCCAAGCTTGTAGCGTCATACCCAAGATGACTTGAGGCTGTAATCGCTGCCAAAGGTGCTTCAACATAGTACTGAGTAAAGGGTCTGAATACTTCAGTTTTGCTAAAATGTCTAAAAAACAGTTTTTGCTTTGTCATTATGGGGTATTGTGTGTAGAACGATGAGGGGAAAAGCAATTTAATCCATTTCAGAATAAGGCTGTAATGTAACAAAATGCGAAAAAATTCAATGGGTCTGAATACTTTCCAAATGCACTGAATATACAGTATATAGACTACAGACCTGACTGTGACCACATGATGCTGTTTGGACTTGTGGGGGCCACCGCCATCATGGGACCCGTGCAGCCAGTGGCAGCTGACAGCATTGTGACAGGAAAAGGAGGGGCTGCAGGTCTTGAGAGCACCCGTTGAGCAGTCAGCGTGAGGAGGACCCACAGTGATTGGGTGCGACTCCAGACAGGCGTTGCCTTTGATTGGCTTGTGATGGCCACAAAAGTGACATCGTCGGGTCTGCGGCGAATCATAGGCTCCACCCTGTAAGACTTGATGGTAGAGCTGGGAGGAGGTGGAGGAGGAGGGCCTGGGGAGGCTGCAGCTGTCAGACTGGTCCCCTTCGGTTTGGATCAGAGTCGCCTGGGCCTCCGGGCACAGGCTGTCGGGAGGACACAGTGACACCTCCGGTATCGCACTGTGAGAGACAGACAGGGGGAAAAGTGTATTTATGTATAACCCCTACAGTGGCAGTGCTTGCCATTGTCAAATGTGCACTGGAATTTTCTGTAATCAATGTTTCAGCTCAGTTGCTTCCCTGGCCGGATCATTTTTACTAAGCCTTGAGTAGGCAAACCAAATTAATTGGGTAAGGAATGACATCTCTAAAGTATTGTTGCGTTGCTTGAAGGCCCAATTAGGCAAAGAGATGCTCCGTCTGCCCTGCCTACCTGTCAACATCCATAAGAGAGTCCCGTGGATGTGGATCTAATGAACAATAACTGATGTTTATGGAAGAAGTGGGTGAAGATATATATTTTTTCTTCCTCGTGTTGTCTTTAGGCCTAATGGTCAGCAGAGTTTCAGCATGTACATTTCCTTAGAGAAAAGTAACAATTATAAATCAATCCCTATTTACTGAACTACATTTACATGTTAGTCTTTTAGCAGACGCTCTCATCCAGAGGGATTTACAGGAGCAATTAAGGTTAAGTGCCTTGCTCAAGGGCACATCGACTGATTTTTCCTCTAGTCTGCTCATCGATTTGAACCAGCAACCTTTCGGTTACTGGCCCAATGCTCTTAACCGCTAAACTAACTGCAGCACTGTAAAAGGCGCTGCGTGGTCAATCCGACGTCTGCATTGGACGTCCAGCATTTACCGTGATACGGCCTCTACAGAAGTCAAGGCATTCACACTTCTTGCCCTTCGCAGAGCAGCGCAGAGCTGTTGTGAAGGAAGTTGTCAAGGAAGTGAGTTTGTGTCTATATAGGACTTCCCACCTACCATCAACCAATTATGTCAATGCAGAGCTATACGGAGCCCTCCGCATTGTTACAAAATTTGAAAGGTGGAAGGCGATGTGGTACGGAGCTCTGTTTGGTCTCTGCATGCCTCTGGAGGCTCCGCGATTGCGTCACACCCTCCTTACGGAGTCTCCAACCACATTTTTGGACTAAGCATAAATTGGCTTTAAATAATATTGAATTCCCGGTATTACAATAATCTAGAGTATGACTGAATGAAAGCAGACATTTAGGCACAGTCTAAATCTAATCTGACTCAGGTTAGAGGGTAAAATGACTTGTTATGGGTAGGGTAGTAATCTTTGGGCCGATGGGTCATTGCGTCCAGGATCTGAAACAATTTTTCCAGACCTGGTCGCCTGGATGGACTAAGACACACTTCCTTGACTCCCTCCTCATCACCAAGGCGATGTGGTAAAGTAAACAGGGAGCATTTGATCAGCAGTTGAGTGCTTTATTTGCATTCCCAACCACCGGGGAGAGATGGGTGGGCAGCAAATGAATCATAGCTTGACTGTGTGCCATTGTGCATTTCAAAAAGCTGTATTAATAATAGAAAGTGTCTTCGATGTATTGGTCGCTTAAAAGTGTGGAGGCAATTTCTCAAACCTATGTAGTGGTTCCACTCATATGATCCCATCAAGATGCCGAGATTATAATTTTGGCTGAAGGACAAAATATGTTGCTGTTGGGTGGCTGATGGTGATGGCGATGGCGCTGATGGTGTCACTAGCTTGCTTCTGAACATACTCAGGGAAATGATTTATTTGCTGTCCAATAAAAAATTGTCATGTACCCTTCAACTGCGCTGTGTGACACATCACAAGCTGCACAGTGCACTGACAGCATGATGGGGGCTTTTGTGCTAGCAGAAGGAGCTGTAGACTGCACCCTTTAGGACTGTGTTACTGCAGAAGTATTCCTTGCTTCTCATTGACATCTGTTTATAGAGCTAGGACATGCTAGCACAGCTAGGCAATTTGTGGATCCAATTAATTATTGAAAAGAGCAGTTACAAAAATACCTCCAGTTGGGTGTTATCGAGCCCTTGCCTGCAAGCTATGAAATAACAAACGCCTGAGATATTGCCAAATTCTCAAATATAATTGACATGGGAGGTGTTCTATCAAAGGTTGATATAACATTGTATTATGGTCTAAAGAGGGTGTTCATATGCTGATGCTTTGCTCTGTCCGCCAGAAACAACCTCGGTTGAGCAGCGCCGTGCTATTTGCTAAACGTTGATATTACATCGTATTTAGGTCTAAAGAGGAAGTTGATATGCTGACACTGCTGCTTTCATGTTTACTCTGTACTGCTACTGGTGGACTGCATATCCACGGGAAGTAGGGGTTCTGGAGGTGCTGCAGCACCCCCTGATAAATGTAAGTAATCTTGCCAAAATTAGGCTATATATTAAAAATATTTTTTCATAAAATTATATTACTCCTGTCTATTTGGAAAATCATTCAAAATACTACACCAGAGAGCATAATTTATCCACAGAGGATAAAAAGCTTTAACAAAAATATCTGTGGATTAAGTTTTATCATAAGCACTTACAGTAGGGAAGGCCGCAATTTGGGCAGCACATGTGCCAAATACAACTTGTTGTATTGTGGCCATAGACATATAATCCATAGAAGGGTTTTGGAACCTCTTACCCTGGCAATTTGACTATTAAACTCATGGGTACACTAGCAATGGCTGCCAGTGCTGACTTGAATGGGAACTGCCGTCTATGGATTATATTTCTAACGTTGGTTGCGGCTGTCAGTTTGCCTCTCGCAAATTTCTAAATACAATCGCGAGAAAAACGTACAGTTTGGAAAGCAAATGCCTACTGTTGAAAAGAGAACACTAATCTGTCTGTAAAGTCTAATAATGATGCTTAGCATTTTTAACACCACAGTCGACCAAACAAGTCCTGCAGGCTCTAGTTTGATCTAATGTTGACTATTGCCCGGTGATATGGTCAAGTGCTGCAAAGGACCTGCAAAAGCTGCAGCTGGCCCAGAACAGAGCAGCACATTTTGCCCTTCAATGTACACAAATGGCTAATATTAACAGTATGCATGTCAGTCTCTCTTGGCTCAAAGTAAAGGAGAGATGTGTTGAAAATTCCAAAATGTATGTATAAACAATTTACATATAGCTGTGACAGACATACTTACCCCAGCAGACATGCCACCAGGGGTCTCTTCACAATCCCCAGGTCCAGAACAAATTCAATGAAACGTACAGTATTATATAGAGCCATGATTGCATGGAACTCCCTTCCATCACATATAGCGCTAGTGAACAGCAAACCTGGTTTCAAAAAACAAATAAAGCAACACCTCACAGCACAATGCCTCTCCCCCATGTGACTTAATTTTTGTGTGTATAGCCTTTGGAAAGTATTCAGACCCCTTGACTTTTTCCACATTTTGTTACATGACAGCCTTATTCTAAAATTAATCAAATAAAATAAAAATTCTCATCAATCTACACACAATACCCCATAATGACAAAGCGAAAAACAGTTTATTTGAAATTTTTGTAAATGTATAAAAAAATTAAACAGAAGTACCTTATTTACATAAGCATTCAGACCCTTTGCTATGAGACTCGAAATTGAGCTTAGGTGCATCCTGTTTCCATTGATCATCCTTGAGATGTTTCTACAACTTGATTTGAGTCCACCTGTGGTACATTCAATTGTTTTGACATGATTTGGAAAGGCATGCACCTGTCTATATAAGGTCCCACAGTTGACAGTGCATGTCAGAGCAAAAACCAAGCCATGAGGTCGAAGGAATTGTCCGTAAAGCTCGGAGACAGGATTGTGTCAAGGCACAGATCTGGGGAAGGATACCAAAAAAGGTCTGCAGCATTGAAGGTCAGCGAGGTGACCAGGAACCCGATGTTCACTCTGACAGAGCTCAAGAGTTCCTCTGTGGAGATGGGAGAACCTTCCAGAAAGACAACCATCTCTGCAGCACTCCACTAATCAGGCCTTTATGGCAGAGTGGCCAGATGGAAGCCACTCCTCAGTAAAAGGCATGACAGCCCGCTTGGAGTTTGCCAAAAGGCCCCTAAAGGATTCTCAGACCATGTGAAACAAGATTCTCTGGTCTGATGAAACCAAGATTGAACTCTTTGGCCTGAATGCCAAGCCTCACGTCTGGATGAAACCTGGCAGGGAAAGATGAACGGAGCAAAGTACAGAGAGATCCTTGATGAAAACCTGCTCCAGAGAGTTCAGGACCTCAGACTGGGGCGAAGGTTCACCTTCCAACAGGACAACGACCCTAAGCACACAGACAAGACAATGCAGGAGTGGCTTCGGTACAAGTCTCTGAATGTCCTTGAGTGGCCCAGCCAGAGCCCGGACTTGAACCCAATCGAACATCTCTGGAGAAACCTGAAAATAGCTGTGCAGTGACGCTCCCCATCCAACTTGACAGAGCTTGAAAGGATCTGCAGAGAAGAATGGGAGAAACTCCCCAAATACAGGTGTGCCAAGCTTGCAGCATCATAACCAAGAAGTCTCCAGGCTGTAATCGCTACGAAAGGTGCTTCAACAAAGTACTGAGTAAAGGGTTTCAATACTTATGTAAATGTGATATTTCCGGCTTTTAATTTTATAAATTAGCAAAAAATCTAAAAACTTGTTTTCGCTTTGTCATTATGGGGTATTGTGTATAGATTGATGAGGATCTTTTTTTTTTTTTACATCTTAAGGATCGGACCCTTTTTTTCAATTTTCACCTAAAATGACATACCCAAATCTAACTGCCTGTAGCTCAGGACCTGAAGCAAGGATATGCATATTCTTGAAACCATTTGAAAGGAAACACTGAAGTTTTTGGAAATGTGAAATTAATGTAGGAGAATATAACACATTAGATCTGGTAAAAGATAATACAAACAAAAAAACGTGTTTTCTATTAATTTTTTTGTTCCATTATCTTTGAAATGCAAGAGAAAGGCCACAATATAATATTGCAGTTTAGGCACAATTTTGGCCACTAGATGGCAGCAGTGTGTGTGTGCAAACTCTCAGATTGATCCAGTGAAGCATTGCAATACTGGACTATTTTGTATCACATCAGCCCAAATGTGCCGAACCACTGGTGTCAGCTAATGGGGATCCTAATAAAATCAAATAACAACATTTCGTAGAATTGCATGAAATGAGTTTATAAAAAGCCAAAACAATTCAGACCCATGTGTGGAAATCCTAGAAACGCCTCTTCTCAACTGTATGCCACTACGCAAATGCGATAATAGATTCATGCAATGCTTTATTGTCACAAACGTTGAGAGACGGGTCAGCGTGAAAAGCGTACATGTTTATTTCACCCAATAAACAACGTAACGTGAAGTCCAAAGGGCTATACAAATACCAGCCTAAACAGGAACAAGATCCCCCAATACTCAGTAGGCAATGGGCTACTTAAGTATGATCCCCAATCAGAGACAACGAGCGACAGCTGTCTCTGATTGGGAATCACACCTGGCCAAACCTAGAAACACAACCTAGCACTGCAACATAGAAATAGACTAACTAGAACATAAACATAGAATATATAACATAGAAACTCACGCCCTGACCAAACCAACTTAAGACAACAGGCCTCTCAAGGCCAGGGCGTGACATTTATTATAAATGTAGAACGTAGCAAACCCCACCGTATACCCTCAAGGTGCGTACAATATGCAGAAACACATTGGTATCAGAAGTGGGATTCTCTGCTTACAATAACAGGGCCACAAATGTGTAACTGCATATCATTACAAGGTGGTGATCTTCTTATGTATGCAGGACGACTGTGCAACTGATCTTTTTTTTCTTTAGCACATTTGAACACTCTTGGTTTTACATCATTTATCCTCGACCACGATCGCCTATTGTTTTGATGCATTTGGTACTATAGTCTAGCCTCTGGAGCGGCACTGGTGGCTCACAGGCTAACTTGTCTCATCCAGAATTGAATATTTATTGTTGTGGTTGGTTTGTGTTGGCTACTGAATAAGCAGGCAGCTGATGCCTCATAGGGAAGTTTGACAAGGGTACCCGAGTGGCAGTGGATGCACATATCTGGGTACTGTTTTCTATTTTCCACCTCCCCTTTACTAACAGTCTCTATGCATGTGCAAACCTTAAAGAATAACTAGTTTAGAAAGGCATTGCATAGAAGTTAGACGGTGTTTATTGTGCAAGAGACTGTACACTGACTACAGCTTTCAACTATTACATCCAGGGGTTGTCACTCCCTCCTACTGTGTCAATAACAAGTGTTTGGCTTACCATTATGAAATAGACAAAACACGTCTTGTGCCTTTTTGGACCAAAATAGGTATTTTTTGCATTATGAAGTGCAAGCTTTCCATATACCAGACCCAAATAGGTGATGCCATCTTTCTTCTCCCCAGTAACCTCTGAAAAGAAAATGCAGAGGGCAGCGTTTTTTGGAGCTCAGACTACTTTAAAATCCATTTAGTGACTTCCCTTTTTGCAACCCCACAAAAATGCACAGTATCTCCAGAAAAAAAACGTTGATGCAGAACATTTACGCCTCGATCACACCGACAGCGTCATTGCATTTTTGGTACACCAGAATGACATTCATTTCCAATGGAACGCTGCGTTTGCCTTGCAGCATTGCGTTGGAGAGGCAGTTGCAGTGCGTTCTGTGTGGTGCATACGTTGGATTTATCGAATTTATGCGTCAAACTGTATGCGTAGATGGCTTGACAGAAATGGTAGCAGAAGGTGAATGTTGAACTTATGTTGCACACATATCCAGATGATGCTGCGTACCATTTTGCGCAATGACGCTGTCGGTGTGATCAAGGCGTTAGGGCCAGTTTCCCAAATACAGATTAAGCCTATTCCTGGACTTCAGGATTATATTTAATCTGTGTTTGGGAAACCAACCTTTAGCATAATTCCCTGGTGATTCCTAAGTGTTTGTAGTTCCCTAATCCACAAGTCATACCAGTTAATCAGTATCAATGTTGAGTGAATTGTATCATATACCATATGTAGCTAACCATATCTACTACATACAGTGGGCACTGTAGTGACAGTGATGTGAATCACATCTATAAAAAAAATAACTGGCATGGTGGAGTTTTGCCCTGTAGATTTGTGGTTTCCCCTGAGCCGAGCCTACAGTAGGCTATTGTGTCAGCAATGTCATATACAGATCTGCATTATTCAGACTTCAGAGAGCATAAAGAGTGGATGGCCGAGGAATACCAAATATCTCTGGATCCTGGGAGATTGTGGATGGAAGTGAATGTGGGAGTGGATTCAGTGGATAAATTGTACACTGAGTATACCAAACATAAAGAACACCATGTTAGCATGTTGACTCTAATGCTTCCCACAGTTGTGTCAAGTTGGCTGAATGTCTTTTGGATGGTGAACCATTCTTGATACACATAGGAAACTGTTGAGCGTGAAAAACCCAGCAGCGTTGCAGTTCTTGACACAAACCGGTGCGCATGGGCATAGCATCTACTACCATACCCCGTTCAAAGGCACTTAAATAATTGTCTTAAAAATCCTTCTTTAACCTGTCTCCTCCACGTCATCTACACTGATCGGAGTGGATTTAACAAGTGACATCAATAGCTTTCACCTGGATTCACCTGGTAAATCTATGTCATGAAAAGAGCAGGTGTTCTTAATGTTTTGTATACTCAGTGTATTTCTTGCAATAGGCTGCTACACTGTACCAAATATTGACTATTACATTACAACCAAGCATACTCTGGGGAGATATTGGTTGCTATAATAGAGCATTTGAGAACACATTTTACAAAAACAAAACAATGGATTTGTCATCCCCCCAAAAATAGAACATTTATGATTCCAGGTTAGTCTGCTCTTGATTTATAATACATGTTAGCAGTGGCTCATTTGTAAGCTGTAATAAATACAAGACTGAGGAATAGGACTATGAGAAATCCATGTCGCTGTAGTGTATCAAGTGCTTACAAACACACAGGTAATTGATATTAATTGATAGACTGATTGATATACACTGACATAGTAATCATAGATGGACAAAGCACCAATACAAATGTATATTCGGGCTAATAATGCGAGGAATAATTTGACAGCCGACTAGACTAACACAGTGCTATTTGCGGTTAACAGAAAACGAAAGGGCTACGTACCTTTGAGATGTCTCCTGTGCAGGTCTTTCAGTGCTTGGCGAATCCATGACTATATCATTCGCGCTCTCATCAGTGATAGAGCAACTATCCATTCTCAGTTACATTTCTCCTTATTAAACCACTGTCCAAAATTACCAACTGTGAAATTGACTATTATTTAGGCTCGTGTTCACTAGGAATAGTTATATCGGTTTTAATTTCTACAACGGCAAAAAAGGATAGATGAACGTTTGAGTAGCCTATCTGCCACAGCCTGGTTTACTATTGGTCGACGCGGTGTGATGACTTGAGGGTGGTGCTGACGGATACAGTATGACACGGATATAATGTATCGATACTGCCTACATTGTCTGTTACAACCTTCTCTCTTCCTCTTTATCTATTATTTTCCTTTGTATAGAAGCTGACATAAAGCCATGCACCTGTATCCTATGTCTGAATAATTTAGTGTGGTTAATAAAGTATTGTCACATAACTAGCCTATATAACAGGCAATACTATCCTTTTAGATCAGATTTGCAGAAGCAATTGTCAAATTACACCTTGTTGGCGTAAATACAATACATAAGACATAGGCCTATTACTAAATAAATTATAAGCTACACCTAATATTTTTGAATTGTGGTCCCAAATGTTTAGATTTGGGATACAATCTTAGTTTTGCTTCCAAATAGAATTGCAGTACTCCATTAATTAAAGTATATCTCCAGCTCATATTCCTAGGCGGTAAACTGTAGTTCTACCACTACGTAGCCATCAGGTGATGACGCTTTTCTGCTGATACACACTCTGCTGTCCTTTGATGACCTGTAGTCAGAAAAGGCACCTGGGACCAGAGAGGGAGAGATAGTGTGCTCTTCCTAGGGTTACTCCATCTTCATAAAGATATAATGTAGGCTGCTCTGGTGAATGATCAGTGGCATGCCAGCTGGTCTGTGTCTACAGATTAATCATAATGCAGACACCTCATCATCACTGATGCTATTAGTGTAGAATGGAGGAAAGATCAATGGTGTTTTTGACACTGAGAGGCACCCAGTGAACATAATTGGTTGAAAATACATTTTTTAAACGTCGTTTGCACTGTCTGCCATAGAAACACAGTCTGAAATCATCCTTTATCAATGACTTATCAATGTTTCCAAAAAATGTGATTTCAACGGTCCAATCAAAGCAGTGCCTTTCCTAGAGAAACCATTACTTTTTGATGTAGGCCTTAGCGCTGAGATTCATAGATTACTGACTATAACATTTGAAATATGCCTACAGACTAGCGTATTATGTCAAGAACTTGTTGATGTATTTCAAAATTAGATATACAGTGGGGAGAACAAGTATTTGATACACTGCCGATTTTGCAGGTTTTCCTACTTACAAAGGATGTAGAGGTCTGTAATTTTTATCATAGGTACACTTCAACTGTGAGAGACGGAATCTAAAACAAAAATCCAGAAAATCACATTGTATGATTTTTAAGTAATTCATTTGCATTTTATTGCATGACATAAGTATTTGATACATCAGAAAAGCAGAACTTAATATTTGGTACAGAAACCTTTGTTTGCAATTACAGAGATCATACGTTTCCTGTAGGTCTTGACCAGGTTTTCACACACTGCAGCAGGGATTTTGGCCCACTCCTCCATACAGACCGTCTCCAGATCCTTCAGGTTTCGGGGCTGTCGCTGGGCAATACGGACTTTCAGCTCCCTCCGAAGATTTTCTATTGGGTTCAGGTCTGGAGACTGGCTAGGCCACTCCAGGACCTTGAGATGCTTCTTACGGAGCCACACCTTAGTTGCCCTGGCTGTGTGTTTCGGGTCATTGTCATGCTGGAAGACCCAGCCACGACCCATCTTCAATGCTCTTACTGAGGGAAGGAGGTTGTTGGCCAAGATCTCGCGATACATGGCCCCATCCATCCTCCCCTCAATACGATGCAGTCATCCTGTCCCCTTTGCAGAAAAGCATCCCCAAAGAATGATGTTTCCACCTCCATGCTTCACGGTTGGGATGATGTTCTTGGGGTTGTACTCATCCTCCTTCTTCCTCCAAACACGGCGAGTGGAGTTTAGACCAAAAAGCTCTATTTTAGTCTCATCAGACCACATGACCTTCTCCCATTCCTCCTCTGGATCATCCAGATGGTCATTGGCAAACTTCAGACAGGCCTGGACATGCACTGGCTTGAGCAGAGGGACCTTGCATGCACTGCAGGATTTTAATCCATGACGGCGTAGTGTGTTACTAATGGTTTTCTTTGAGACTGTGGTCCCAGCTCTCTTCAGGTCATTGACCAGGTCCTGCCGTGTAGTTCTGGGCTGATCCCTCACCTTCCTCATGATCATTGATGCCCCACGAAGTGAGATCTTGCATGGAGCCCCAGACCGAGGGTGATTGACCGTCAACTTGAACTTCTTCCATTTTCTAATAATTGCGCCAACAGTTGTTGCCTTCTTACCAAGCTGCTTGCCTATTGTCCTGTAGCCCATCCCAGCCTTGTGCAGGTCTACGATTTTATCCCTGATGTCCTTACACAGCTCTCTGGTCTTGGCCATTGTGGAGAGGTTGGAGTCTGTTTGATTGAGTGTGTGGACAGGTGTCTTTTATACAGGTAACGAGTTCAAACAGGTGCAGTTAATACAGGTAACGAGTTCAAACAGGTGCAGTTAATACAGGTAATGAGTGGAGAACAGGAGGGCTTCTTAAAGAAAAACTAACAGGTCTGTGAGAGCCGGAATTCTTACTGGTTGGTAGGTGATCAAATACTTATGTCATGCAATAAAATGCAAATAATTACTTAAAAATCATACAATGTGATTTTCTGTATTTTTGTTTTATATTCCGTCTCTCACAGTTGAAGTGTACCTATGATAAAAATTACAGACCTCTACATGCTTTGTAAGTAGGAAAACCTGCAAAATCGGCAGTGTATCAAATACTTGTTCTCCCCACTGTACATGTTCCAAGTGGTCCCTTTTTTGAGAAACCGTAGACTTCATATTAGTGCCCCAAAAAATTCAGAGGTTATTAACTTTGAATAACATTTGAAATATGGCTTTTAGTTCTTAAGATACATCTACAGTGGGGAAAAAAAGTATTTAGTCAGCCACCAATTGTGCAAGTTCTCCCACTTAAAAAGATGAGAGAGGCCTGTAATTTTCATCATAGGTACACGTCAACTATGACAGACAAATTGAGATTTTTTTTCTCCAGAAAATCACATTGTAGGACTTTTAATGAATTTATTTGCAAATGATGGTGGAAAAAAAGTATTTGGTCACCTACAAACAAGCAAGATTTCTGGCTCACACAGACCTGTAACTTCTTCTTTAAGAGGCTCCTCTGGCCTCCACTCGTTACCTGTATTAATGGCACCTGTTTGAACTTGTTATCAGTATAAAAGACACCTGTCCACAACCTCAAACAGTCACACTCCAAACTCCACTATGGCCAAGACCAAAGAGCTGTCAAAGGACACCAGAAACAAAATTGTAGACCTGCACCAGGCTGGGAAGACTGAATCTGCAATAGGTAAGCAGCTTGGTTTGAAGAAATCAACTGTGGGAGCAATTATTAGGAAATGGAAGACATACAAGACCACTGATAATCTCCCTCGATCTGGGGCTCCACGCAAGTTCTCACCCCGTGGGGTCAAAATGATCACAAGAACGGTGAGCAAAAATCCCAGAACCACACGGGGGGACCTATTGAATGACCTGCAGAGAGCTGGGACCAAAGTAACAAAGCCTACCATCAGTAACACACTACGCCGCCAGGGACTCAAATCCTGCAGTGCCAGACGTGTCCCCCTGCTTAAGCCAGTACATGTCCAGGCCCGTCTGAAGTTTGCTAGAGTGCATTTGGATGATCCAGAAGAGGATTGGGAGAATGTCATATGGTCAGATGAAACTTTTTGGTAAAAACTCAACTTGTCGTGTTTGGAGGACAAAGAATGCTGAGTTGGATCCAAAGAACACCATACCTACTGTGAAGCATGGGGGTGGAAACATCATGCTTTGGGGCTGTTTTTCTGCAAAGGGACCAGGACGACTGATCCGTGTAAAGGAAAGAATGAATGGGGCCATGTATCATGAGATTTTGAGTGAAAACCTCCTTCCATCAGCAAGGGCATTGAAGATGAAACGTGGCTGGGTCTTTCAGCATGACAATGATCCCAAACACACCGCCCGGGCAACGAAGGAGTGGCTTCGTAAGAAGCATTTCAAGGTCCTGGAGTGGCCTAGCCAGTCTCCAGATCTCAACCCCATAGACAATCTTTGGAGGGAGTTGAAAGTCCGTGTTGCCCAGCGACAGCCCCAAAACATCACTGTTCTAGAGGAGATCTGCATGGAGGAATGGGCCAAAATACCAGCAACAGTGTGTGAAAACCTTGTGAAGACTTACAGAAAACGTTTGACCTGTGTCATTGCCAACAAAGGGTATATAACAAAGTATTGAGAAACTTTTGTTATTGACCAAATACTTATTTTCCACCATAATTTGCAAATAAATTCATTAAAAATCCTACAATGTGATTTTCTGGAAAAAAAATTCTCAATTTGTCTGTCATAGTTGACGTGTACCTATGATGGAAATTACAGGCCTCTCTCATCTTTTTAAGTGGGAGAACTTGCACAATTGGTGGCTGACTAAATACTTTTTTTCCCCACTGTATGTATGTTTAAGTAGTCTATATGGCAAGATACTTAAGTAGGCCTAGAGTTGTAAAGTACTCCGAATGAGCTTCAATCTTCCCATTGCCATTGGATTCTCATATGACAGAAATAACACTGGGTTTATCATCTACATCAAATCAAATCAAATTTTATTGGCCACATGCGCCGAATACAACAGGTGCAGACATTACAGTGAAATGCTTACTTACAGCCCTTAACCAACAGTGCATTTATTTTTAACAAAAAAAGTAAAAATAAAACAACAACAAAAAAAGTGTTGAGAAAAAAAAAAGCAGAAGTAAAATATAATAACAGTAGGGAGGCTATATATACAGGGGGGTACCGGTGCAGAGTCAATGTGCGGGGGCACCGGCTAGTTGAGGTAGTTGAAGTAATATGTACAATGGCATCAT